GTGGCGTTTGAAATAATTCTTGATTACACACATTTTGATATGAGATGTGGGCCTTTCCAATAATTTATTACCCGAAAGATCGTCGTTATTTTCGTTTTTGAGTTTTATCCAACCTGAGAGTCGAGAGAAATGAGTTATTTTGCCAACAAAATTTTATTAGGCATTCAAAAGACTACTGTAGATGAGTAATTTTTTGTTGTTTTATTTATTCTGAATAATCACTAAGGAACGACATTTGTGTAATACGACAGTGGCCTTTAACTATGGATACAAACGATTGCACTTCTTCAAAATTGCCATGTCCGCCATAAAAGTAATTCTCAATCGTGTTCGTATAAAGCTAAATATAATTGTCATGAAAGAAAATACGTTTAACAAATGGAATAAAATTTTAAAAATAGTAACTTAATTATCGAATTATTAAAGGAATTCAAAATAATGTTACGGTTTTGTTGAAAGCATTTACAAAGAACTTTGAAAATTTTTGAATGAACTTTTCGAAGAAGAGGATTCAATCTTAATTTGATTCTTTAATGTAAAATATTGTAATTGTATATTTGCAACATGTTTTTTTTCTTATGCTCACATCCACGTATGTTTGAAGACTGAATTCATTAATAGATTTGTGTGATACGAGTGGTAAAAGTGACATTTTGTTTGTAAGAGAGGCTGTCACGCGACGTCGATAGGCCTAGTGGAATTATCCTAGGAGGAAAATAAAATGCATTTTATCATTGTGTCATACACTATTTGGTCTACATAATTACTGATTTTTGTTTCATTTTTATTCGAGTATACACATCATTTAATTGTGTACTATGTTACGTTAAGGTCAGACAGGTATTATCTGATGCGATCAAAGGAAAGTATTTTGTTTTCTGTGTTGTAATCACACTGTTTCATCTGAACATTTGAGCATCGTTGCACTTTTAGCTCGAGTTCTACAAAATCAATTTTAGCACGCTCAGTATGCCCTACAAGTAACCGCTTTTCTTAGTGGGTGCCTGGATTAAGTATTTTGTTCATACAGGAGGACAATGTCAGTTTTCTTTTTTAACTCGATCTATTTTTTTCAGAAATACTGTACGTGAAGAAAATATAATTAAAGACTAGAGATAAGTGTCTAGCTTAATAATAATAGTTATATTCAAATTAAGATTCACAATCTTTTAGCATATTTCTAACAACTGAATACTTGGACACTTTGATTCTGAGGGATGTACTCTAACAATCGTCAATCGCTTAGAAGTCGAAAAAGATATTTGACATTCTTTTTTCTTCGACCCTTTTCTGGCTCTCATTTGGTCAACGAATAGAGAGATAATCGTAGATTTCTCACTAAATAAATTATTTATTGGTTGTCTTTACCAAATAAGTACATGTTACAGTTACGAGAACAGCCTCTGATCTATTTTCTTCCATTATCTTTCCAGATTTTAATGATGCATGTGCATGATGTTATAAAAACGAAAAAAAATATTAACGTGGGGCGCTCCAGTATGACAATATCATAATCATAATCAATATCATAATACAAAACACACTTATCTGAAGTTGTTTTGAAATTCAGTGAAATAAAGAGTGGGCAATACTCTACTTACCAAAATCCGTTGATATAGAAATGAGTAAACATCAAATGTCTTGCAATGTCGTAAAAAGTATGAGGAGATTACACATCTTAACTTCAAATATCATTCTATATGGCATACTTTTAATCAAAATACGTTAAGAATTGCTCCTGAAAGTAAAAATATAAAATGAAAAATTATTGAAATATACATAAGTTTTATTTATAATGTAATCAATTTACACATAATGGAGAATGAAAATTTATAGTTGAATTCATTATCATGGATTCAGGTAAATCAGGTAAAAGAAAAGAATAATACATTTCAATCTAAATTTCAGAATAGAACCTCCGACCATTTTTCAATATTCCCAACAAGGACTGCAAATACGAAAAAAAAAGAAGAAAATAAATTAATTAGAATCTGGACGTCTTGTACTTCACCTTGTGAGTATGTATCACAGTAATTTTAAGTAGTTATTCACTAGCAGAAAAAAAATCATTTGATCCATTGAACACAAAAACCCGTTTATTACATAATACATGAGGGTGGATAAAACGCACAAAGCCCTCTATGAAAACATATTACTTGTTCTACCCACGTTCAGTCGAAAACAAAAGCGACAGCACTTTGACAAAAGCAAACTATCGTTTTTGTACTCGTACGGTGCAGCGAGACCTCTCATCTGCGAGTGCTAGCACCACGCGGCTGTGTAGCGAGAGTCAGATTGAGTTTATTTTAAAGCCAACAATTCAAATGAAGAGTTTGAACATAAATTGATAAAATTTAAAAATGTATATAATAAAATTAGAAAAAGCGAGAATCGGCAAGGGCTTATACTTCACGAAGAGACTGGTGAGTACAATTATTGCCGAGGCATAATTTCTAACAATAGTTTTGATTGCTTCTAGATTTTTTGTCTATTAAAAGATCTCTCTTGAGATATTGTATCTTTTATAGCTATAAACATTAATTTATTTCGCTATCGCTTGCAAACAAATTCATTTCTGATTTGTTTCTGTTTAAAATACGCCATTATGTGCATGTCGGTAGATTAAAGAACAGTGCATAAACGCAAGTGTATAAAGAGCACATAAAGTTTTTAGACACGAGTAATTTGCTTGAACAATACATTTTATATCAACCAACAGCCTTTTCAACACTTTGAAACATTATATAATTTTATTTCTAGATGTTATCTGGTAATGTATTGACTTCGTTAGCACCCTTTATTACATCGGATATATTACTGAGCCATTATATATATCGCGGAATGTTTTATTTTATTGGGAAAAAAATTACAAATTTAATATGCTATTAACACATAAGTAAACAGCAAATAACGACAATAGAATGACAAAAAAATTAATTCACGATTTTATTTTTCATAAATTTTAGATTTGTTTATGTCACCTTGAAAAAAACATTGACAACGTAAAAAATGTTCTTTTGAGGGCACACGCATCGGGAGACCCAAATTTTATGAGAAACTGTAGTTAATAATATGTACTTACGTGTTTCTTGCAACAAGTTTAAATCGCAGGAATGAGAATTCTGACACAAATGTCACCTCGCGAATGAGAACGCCCGTCACATATTTATATGTCCCCGCCAAATTCTTCCTCGAGTGTCTTTGCAGCAGTGGCTGTCAATGCTCCCGGGCGGAAGGGGTGAGCGCGAAGTGCGGCGCGTCTGGCCAGCGCCAGGCGAATTCACGGCCTGGCACGCCCCCCTCCTTCCACCACCCCTTCCGCAGCTCGCAACCCCACCCGCCGCCTCTCGCCCCTCCACTCGCCATCATCCCCTTCTCACCCCACCCAACTCTGCCTCCGCACTCCGTCTCACTTCCTCTACTCGCCACCTTCCTGCCCCACCCTTTACTTTCTGTTTAGAAAGAAATTGGGGTAAACAATAAGTAAATTTCGTCAATTTTAATAAACGACGGCATATTATTGAATAGCAAAAGGTATTTTGTAACTGAATCAGAAGCTATAAAGAAATTCTTCCCTGTTTCTATGAAAAGGAGGTCCTCACCACCACTACCTCCACCATCTCCTTATGATTTTTAAGACATTTGATGTTTACACATTTATGTCAGCGAAGTTTGGTAAGTAAAGTGTTGCCCACTCTTATTTCACCGAATTTCAAAATAACATGAGATAAGTGCGATTTATACTGTCATACTGAATCACTCCACGTCATTTATTAATTTATATATTTATTTTTTCGTTCTTATAACATCATGTACATTCACCATTAAAATCTGGAAAACAAAAGATATTGGATAAAGGGCTCTTCTCGTAACTGTAACATGTTCATTATTTATTTGGTAAAGACAACCAATAAATTATTCATTCTGTGCGAAATGTACGATTACTTCTTCCTCAACCTCTCTTCTCCCCAGTCTACCGTCCCTCCCACCTCCCTCCGTCCTCTCTCTTCCTCATTCGCAAATCCACCGGTCACCTCTTTGCCCTTCGCTCACCGCCATCTCCTGCTCACCCCTTCATCCCCTAATAACTCCACACTTCGCCTCCTTTCCCGATTCGCTTTCACCAGCTTCCGTCTCACTCCTCCTTTTAATCATACAGTGCAAGCCGGACTACCCTTCTCGGTATATTTTTCACACAGTGCACAGTTTAATCTGCTGCCTATTCTACTTACTCCTCCTTCCACAAAACCCCCAGCCTTTTCCCAGACTGCTCATTCTCCATCGTCCTCCCTCCATATCTCTCGTCTGATTTCTCCTTCATTCTACGTTTTTCTGCTATTTTGAATGTATTCTATACGTTAACATTTGTTGCCTTTCCCCTTTTGTGCGTTTTTATTGTTCCTTTCCTTTTCACCCCTTCGACACCCTTTGTCTATGCGCACTTCTTTTTACTCCTACTTGCATCATTTCTCCCTGCCTTCCTACTGCAATAAACCCCCCACCAGTTCAGCGGCTATTTTTGGTTACCGAACCCTCGGAACTTATCAATGTTTTCCTCACTCGGTCTTTCGCATGCCAGCGCGAATTTATCATGTGGGAACTTTGTGCCGAGGTTATTTATTCAACGCCCCTCGTCAGCGAAGTCGCTCCTCTTGATTCGCTGGCCTCGTTTGAAGGAATGGACGTCGATATCTTCCGTCTGAATCGCGATAAAAACATTGTTCCAATTGCTTTTATTCACCTTCTTTGACTTCCTGAAACGATTCTTCGCGTCGCTACTTCACGAAATTACATTTTCGAGATATTCTCACCCTCTTTAATGATTTCCAATCTCGTCACACTTACCAGCGAGGACCTTTCTTTCACAGAAACAGAAATGAGTTTCTTTATAGCTTCTGATTCAAAGTTACAGAATACCTTTTGATATTCAATAATATGCCGTAGTTTATTCAAACTTACGAGATTTACTTATTGTTTTACCCAATTTCTTTCTGAAAAGAAACTACATAATATAAATCTAGTATTTATTTTAAATTGGAAAACCATCCCATTCAATGTGTTATGAATAGACGCTGTGTTGTTCTGATGATTATGGAAGTAAATAACGAAAGAATGGATATATTTGCGATGGCATGAATGAAGAATATGTAAGTGCTCGTTTTTCTCTGTGGGAAAAGTCATGTAGTTACGATATTTTTCATTATAGATACATAAAAAATGTAATTTTATGACAGATTTTAAAACCTTAAGTTGTCTTATGTATCTTACAGGAGCTTAAAACAATATTATTAAATTTTCTACAATTTCTGATGCCCGAAAATAACTTTAAGGCAGTGTTATAAAACATGCTTTCCTTTTAGAAAACTAACATTACCCGTAAAACCGGTTCTAGTATGTTTTACGGGTCTTTTACCAATCAGTACTTATCAAATATAATTTTTATAGTTCTCCATGTTTTATCATGTAGAAATTTTAAAACACCCACTTTCATTTAAAAACCTACTCAAAATTTACTATCATTCTATGAAAACACTAACCGATATTTGGACCATGTCATCTACCTTAGTCGATTATGGAGATCAGGAAGCGAAGTGGACATTCTTATGTAAGATATATATTTCATTTTCGAAATTTTGGCCTTTTTGGCTAGATGGTTGACAACGAGTATAACTGTATTGTAGCGCATTAAACTTTTTACACATAATTTCAGTAAATTCCGGGATGTCAGCGATATTTTGGTAATCTGTAAAGTTTTAGTACTTTAATCAGCATAATTTAAAATTGCAAGATGTGTTATAATGAGATGTACATGAAACTATACCAGATTCTGAGTTGCATATTAATGAAAAATTCCGTTTCAGAAATCGGATACTGCAAATAACTCAATGTCCTTGCCAGTTATAAAGATATATTTCAGTTATGGGACATTTAGCATGTCTCTACGTACTTTTAAGATAGTTTCACTCTGGACAAAATAAATTGGAAACAAAGAAATCAATATTTAAAACATCACAGTTGTATATTTTAAGCATTAGAAATATCATTGGCTATTTCCTACCTTCTGAGGAATAGTGACAAACAAAACAGTTTTTCCTCAAAAAATGCACCCTGTTTATTTCACTGTCGTAAAAGAGATACTATGATTCAAAAACTGAAAACGTAATATACATAGTACATTTTGTGAAGCAGCAACTTTTGATGATTACACAGCCACACAAAAAATGTGTTCGTGTTTGGAGGTCAGATCATGTTTTTTATTTGTTTCTGAGGTTGCTAAATACGAATCCGGTGGCTATTTTACTCCATAACATCAGTTTGTTGACATAATCTCAAAAAATAGGGAAAATGGAAGATGTGTTTAACCGAGGGGTCAAACCATGTTACGTAGGTGTTTTTTAGGTCGCTGAAACTGAATCTGAAGTTTATTTAACTTCATCACATCAGATATTTTAATTACGACCAATTATAGTTGATAGAGAACACATTAGATTTTTCGCATAACATCAAAATATTTTTAAAATCCTTTGCCTGCTTGGAAAGTAAGCTAGTGATCTGGCGTCTATGAAGTATGCAATCTGTCATACAACAGCGCAATGAGTGTTGTCTCGTCAGGGGCCAGTGCCACCAACTCTAGCAATTATAATTATAAATATCAAAAAACAGATATGATGGAGTAAAATGGACACCGGAATCGGATTTAGCGACCACAAAAACATATAGAAAACATGTTTGGATCCCCAGACACGAACACTCTTTTTTTGTGTGGCTGTGTTATTTATTGATTACGGACGCATCGACTACTTAATTAGTCCTGTAGTACATGTTCTCAGGAGATGAAGAGTTCTCTCTCCGTTAGAAATTGAGTTTTGGTGCCGACCAAATGTGCGCATGTAATGGGAAACGAAAGCAAAGGATGAGTAAGGAAATATCGCGCGCGGTCCGTGGTTTGTGCCGGCATTCGTCTGTTCCAACTTTAGTCACGAGTTGATTGATTCATTGATGGATTAATGATTACATGCGCGACAACTGCTAAGGTCATTAGTCTTGAAAGCGTAGTGCATGTTTTTATCGCGAGAGGTGGCGTTGATGTACCCCCGCTGGATCGCCAAATCCGACGCCGACCAAACGGCACTTTTGTATCTTCAACCAGTCGGGCACCGCCCCAGTCGGACAGGGAGAGGTGGTTGGTGGTATCAAATTATGATACTGCAGTGCCTCAGAGGCCATAGGATCTAGTCGCGACGGAGGAAGAATTTTAGACACTTGCTAGATAATAGTATTTCAAGCATATCTGGACGGAAGAAATCTTGCGGCCGGCCTGCTCTGATCGAGTTCTTCGTGGCTCTTTCTCGCGGACCACAACCAGGAGCATAGCGGACTTAGTATCTAACAAACGGGTAACGACTTAGCAGTTTTCAACGCCCAGATCATCAATCAATTAATGGCAATTCTCATGCCGATCAAGCTCTAAGCTATAAATTCTCGGTAATGCGGGAAGAACGCCGCGTGTGCTTTTTTGGAGGCCGACGTTTGCCTGAGCATGTCGCGGCTTCCTCAGGGCAGTGACATTAGGCGAAACGTACGGCCTCCAGCAACGCAGACGGGCGTTTCCCATATCCCGTAGAATTTAATGGATCGAGCGCGGAAGCTTTACGTGTAAACTCTAAACCTCCCTAGTCGGTGCTCACGTGCATGTTGGTAGTGTAGTACACGTGAGAATATGTCGCAAGGCCTGCTCCTGCGCAGGTGAGGCGTTCGGCCATGTGAGCGGTCTCAGCGCGGGGCGGCGCCATGTGCTCAAGAGCGTGTCCATTCCTGTCGAGCGGGGACGGCGCGCGTCGCACAGCGCGGCGGCGCGCGGCCGAAGCACGGCGCTGCGGGCGGCGCCGGCGGGGGCGGCGGCGGCGCAGGGCGCGGGCGAGCGGGCGCGCAGGCCGGCGGCGCGGCAGCAGAGCGCGCGCCGCCGGCAGCGCCGCAGGATGGGCGACGAGAAGGGCCCCTCCGCCACCAAGTGCTCGCCCAAGCTCATGGACATGCTGCGCAAGCGCACGCACTTCTCCAGGTGAGCCGCAGCAACCGCCTTGCTCCCGGCACGTGTGGCAGTGAAGCCCATGTAATAGCGTTGTGTGTGCATATATAACAAGAGGAAAGCCAAAGCCTCATACCTCAGCTAGTGGGGGTTTCTCCAAACAGGTATCTCTCTGAGCGTTGTGTGTGCATGTACGACGAGAGGAAAGCTAAGGTTCATGAAGGAAATTAAGCGCGCGGTCCGTGGCTTGATTTGCGCCGGCATTCGTCTATTTCAAGTGTCAAAGTCACGAATTGATTGATTGATTAGTGATTCCGAGGGCGTCATTTGCTAAGGTCCTTTGCTCCGTAAGTGTTGTGCATGTTTTCCTTCACAAGTGATGGTGGTGCTGGTGAGTTCAGCGCCAACCTGTCGTCGACTAGAGGGTGTTTCTCCAACCAGGTATCTCCCTCCACGGGACAAGGGGGGACAAGCTCTTAACTCCCGACTGGTCTCGCGACAAGTGTGGTAGTGAAGCCCATGTAAGAGAGTTGTGTGTGCATGTACAACGAGAGGAAAGCCAAGGATCATTAAGCAAATGAAGCGCGCGGTCCGTGGCTTCCGAGTGCGTCATCTGCTAAGGTCATTAGCTTCGTAAATGTTCCTCGAGAGGGGGTGTTTTCCCTGCTGGCTGGTGAGTTCCGAGGCCGATCTACCTCAGCTAGTGGGGGTTTCTCCAAACAGGTATCTCTCTGAGCGTTGTGTGTGCATGTACGATGAGAGGAAAGCCAAGGTGAAGTAAGGAAATAAAGCGCGCGGTCCGTGGTTTGATTTGCGCTGGTATTTGTTTGTTTTTAAGTTTCAAAGTCATGATTTGTTTGATTGATTAGTGAGTCCGTGGGCGTCATCTGCTAAGGTCATTTTATCCGTAAGTGTAGTGCATGTTTTCCTCGAGATGTAATGGTGGGTGCTGGCGAGTTCCAGCGCCGACCTGCCGTCGACTAGAGGGTGTTTCTCCAACCAGGTATCTCCCACCACGGGGCAAGGGGGGACAAGCTCTAAGCTCCCGACTGGTCTCCCGACTCGTGTGATGGTGAAGCCCATGTAAGAGCGTTGAGTGTGCATGTACAACGAGAGGAAAGCCAAGGTGAAGTTAAGAAATAAAGCGCGCGGCCCGTGGCTTGCCTTGCGCCGGTATTCGTCTGTTTCAAGTTTCAAAGTCACGATTTGATTGATTGATTAGTGATTCCGAGGGTGCCATGTGCTAAGATCATTTCCCCGTAAGTGTAGTGCATGTTTTTCTCGAGAAGTGATGGTGTGGTGCAGGCGAGTTCCAGTGTCGACCTGCCGTCGACTACAGGGGGTTTCTCCAACCAGGTATCTCCCACCAAGGGGGAAAGGCCCCCTCCGGGACAAGCTCTAAGCTCTCGACTGGTCTCGCTACATGTGTGGTAGTGTAGTGCACGTGAGTGTGTGTGTGTGTGAGTGTAAGTAAGGGGAAAGGAATGTCAAGAAAGTGTATAGAAAGATAACGCGCTGTCTGTAGAGATTCGGGTACTGATCCGGCATTGGCCTGGTGTTGATAGGAGAAACCTGGGAAAACTACCGATCGGAGCAGCCGACCGCTAGAATACTCCTTCAGACAGCGGGTGAATTCCACCTAGCTATCTAGCTATTGTCAAAAATCCTGCCACCGTCAGGGTTCAAACCCTAGGACCTGCCGGTCAGAGGCACTGCAGAGTCTGAGCCACCTTTGCCAGTAGGCGGCCCGAGGACTACGGGAGGATATCGAACGAATGAATAAACGGTGGCATCTTTTCCCGTCTTTTACTGAAATCATAATGTGGGTTGGCGCTTAGATTGACTCTTCGACAGCGTGCTAGTTTTGGGTGGTGCGATATTGGGTTCGTTTCCCGGTCGATGCAAAAATATAGCTGCAGATTGCCATTACAATCGTCTGACTTTCTATAGCTGTGCGACGACAGAAACGTGTAGGCAGGCCAAGTACACAGTGAAGGAAAGGCGAAATGCTCACCACACTCCTCTTTTACCTCCCAGGTGAGCATAGTAAATAAAAACAGGCTCTTGATCTGGCAACACCTTCAGATGACTAAAGTTGGAATAATACGACCCAAAAATGACAAATACATTCATAAATCATTCGTTTGGAATTTTCCTTACTGGCATCCTCAATATTAAAGAAATTGTGTGTGATTAGCCAAATTAACATCTATCATCCCAGTTTCTTAAATCCGAGGTAGAAGTGACATGGTTGTTGGGCAATTTACCTATCTATAGAAATTGTATGTAACGTTCGCGTGGGTTGTAATGAAGCTACAAACCCCAAAACTACACAATCATGTGTTGGCATCAAATTAATTTACGTCCTCAAATCCCCTTATCGTATGTCTAACTGAGAGATATAAATCGTGAAGTTTTGACAATGATAAAAATAGGCGTTGAAATGCACGCAATTGTAGCAATTGTAAAACCGTTGTAGACAAACTTCATAGACGTTTGCCTACACCATGCCAGGCATGACCCATGGCTAATCCTATCTTATCAGTCATTAGATATGCGTGAAGGACGCTGGCTTTTCTATTGCTAATTGTTAGTAGCGCTGTGTAGTATTTTTTTGGTTTTTTTTTTTTTTGGTTTGTAATTTCAAAATCCATTAGTCGTTAGTCTCCCAAGCTTATGTTCATCTAAATGTGAATATAAATTTAAAATATTCCCCTTTTATTAGAATTCTTCTTAATTATATTATTTAGTTGTACGTGCCGGCTTCTGATTTTTGGTGAAATTAATATTATTGAGTATTGTAATGGAGAGGTAGTGACTATTAGTATAGGTCAAGAGGTTTCAAAAAAAATTAATATCTGTGATCAACTAATACGGCAGTTGATTTTACGTCGATAGATGTATCGCTGTATTATTCTTTGAAACGTGAAGTGCCAGTTAACATTATTTATCTTTAAATGACGCCCATTTCCCTAGACGTGTGCCGCGGTACATCAATCAAACTGATTCTCACGGCCCACCTGTGCCAAAAGTACCCTTTAAAATAGGAGGGTCTTCAGGTTAAAATTTCACAATGTAACAATCAAAATAACAGGAGAAAAAATATGTCATTTCTCTCATCTTTTCAATGTCAACAGAATACATTAGATTGAACATTTCAGTTGTTGTTGACTGTTTCCGGGAGAGGCAGTCGGAGACCGATCTTTGATATCTCGTGAGCGTATTTTTATTCCGAGGTCTGCATAATGGCGTATTGAGTTTTCAAGAAGAGTTACTTTTTTCGCTTTAGAAGATTGAGAAGGAGAATCGATACACCCGCAATAAAATAGAGAAATATGTGAACGCTTGCACAAATTATATATCGCGAGCCTTCATTGTGTGGAGAAAATATATCGAACCTGTCCTTTGAATTAAATGGGAAAATGTGTATTTATGGAGAGCAGACCTGCTCTACTGGCAGTGCTACTGAAAAGTGCCCCTAATCTGTAGACGTCCTTTCTCGATAGGTAAGTTGCGCGACGCCGAGAAAACGAAATCTATTACGTCGTATTTCGGCGTGCAACCGGGTGTATTATTATATTCAGAAAGACACACAATGTTGAGAATATAGAGTAGTATATACACGTGTATCCGGTTAATACGAAAGCAGAAGACAATTACATTATCTTAGACTCTGGATTGATAATATATAACTGACTTACACTTTGGATATTTTTTTGAACTAAAAAATGTTTAAAGGTCGCATTTTAGCTACAAGCTCACGTAGCAACCAGTTTGTTTACATTGGGTAGCTGTAGGGAGAACACGGTACGTAAGGACAACACACGTAAGGCACACACAAACATTCATGTGAGATTCGAACCTGATATCCTTCGAGGGGGGCGGTTCTACAGCCTTACGGACCTCGGCTAAGCAGGATCGCTCTTGGTTGTCCATCTTTTACGATTTCCTGGCATAACTACCAAGTGTTGTACCTAGACCAATACGGGTAGTAAATTCATATTTTTTAATATTTGAACGCACTCTATTCGTTTTGGGTTGAGCAGTATGGCTGTTATTGCGAATTAGGAAATGAGAGTAATTTTCTAAATCAAAACATCACACTATAAGTCAAGAAAACAAACAAAGAGCTTTCAGAAAACACAATCATTTTAAAGTTCAATTTTTTTTGTACATATTAAACAACACTTATTAAAAAATATAATACACTTACAAATTTTAGCTTAGTAAAAAGATGGAGGTCCAAACAAAATCCAGGAGTCATTTAAATCGAGTTTTAAAGTTAATTAAAAAAGAAGGGTTTTATTTTTTATAAATTTTGCATATTATACCTAATATTAAATTGGATATTTTGGATATTCTGTTCAATTTATTGGGTCTTAAGTTTTTTATTTGTAAGTTATTACTTAGCAATATGATAATGAATACACACGCACAGTATTTGACTTAAATAATGTACCTCGAGGATCAGGGTATGGTTGTTCGAAGTTGTATTCTGTTGAGGTTGTCTTATTTTCTTTATGTGAACTATCTTTATATATAAATATAATTTTACTACAGGTTGAGTACGGCACAACCAATTCCTAGCAAGGTGGCTAAAAAAGGACATAATTTCGAAATTAAGTAAAATTAAATTGAATGATGACATTCCATGTAATTCAAACATGCAAATCTTTTTATTTGTTAATAAGTGCTTAGAATATTAGAAGGAATAACCACGTACAGAACTCGGCTTAAATCGTTTAACGCAGGGCTGCTAAAGAGGGCTGCCCACTTTTTATTTATTTATTTATTTGATTGTTTTGTAGAAACCATAATGGCACCTCATAGGAACTATTTCAAATCTGAGAACAATTTACAAAATATGTGAAATGGATATCTATTTTTATGCGAGTGGGATGGATGGGGTTTTTGCAAAGTTTGAATGAAGATAAGGTTTGGATATGGTGTATATTTGAGAAGAAATTGTGGGATAGGTAGGTGATGTGGTGCATGATGGGATCGATGTTGAATTCATTATGTAAATGATGATTAGATATGAACCAGGGTGCATTAGTGATTGTATGGAGCGGCCCACTTACCGGACCTCGGGGAAGCGCCAATCTGCGGGCTATCGATGTGGCCCGCTGCTTGTCAAGTTAGGCCGAAGGCAGGGGACGAAAAGCGCTGATCGCTTTTGCTGATGGTGGGGAAAGGAGCGGTAAAGGAGTGTAGTCTAGTGAAAGGGGAGTGGCCGCGGGCCACTCCCCTTTTTTCTTATCTTTGAGCAGTCCTCGTGTAAATTGCAGTTCAGGGCCTGGTTATTCGATACTGAGTTTTTGTGTGAAGCAGTTTTCACTATGGAAATAATGGTCTATCAAAGTCCAAATGTCCGTATTGGTACGACTTGTAAAATTAATTATTTCGATGAAACACTTTCGTAATATAATTTAAAAATTTCATTTAAATGTGTACATGTTATTAGCTTGTTGTAATGCAAAGCACAAATGAAGCATGTACAAAGCAATTACATATAGAATGAATTAATTTCGAGCAAAGAAATTTTCTACATTCTTTATATAAACGTTTTGTATTGTCAAAAGCATCAGCTGGTTTTAAAGAAGAAAAATACGTAGTCTAACCGACAAGCTTGAGTACATTTCGAGGCTTTGTGAGTTCACGAAGAAAAGTAAAAGAAAATCGATAATTAATTTGTGAGCTCAGAACATGTCATTATTTCAACTTGTCAACGAGCTTGACTTCTCCCTATCTTTATGAAACGAGACGCCCCCACTCGGGTTCGGGGAAAGTCGGCGTGAGGCAGGCGACTCCACGGATTCGTCCTTGCTGTCGCCTTAAATGAGCTGGTCGCATGCTTCTTCCTGTGCTCGTGATCGACTGTTCTTTTTCCTCCTCCGCTCCAAATTGTGCACAATGGAACAGGACACGTCCATTTAAAAATCAATATCTACCTTCGTTGCTTAGAAATTATTCTACTCCTTCTTTTTGGCTTAATTCATGAACTTTCTTTCAAACACCAGTTACAACATCGTTCACTAGGTTAATCCTTCCTCTTCTTGCTCCTCTCCTTTCAGAATTTCTTCGCTCTTTCGTTGAATTCTCTCCTTCTTCCTTTCACCTGTTAATGTGTCTTAGCGTTCTGAAAATCTCTTGAATTCATAGACCTACCGCGAAAAACTTGCCTAACACAGATGTCTTCTGTATTGATACCAGCTTCATATCATGCAGCTAGTTATATAATGTTTTCTGAATCTATTCGATAGTTGCCTTAATTTTGGTGATGTCTCTCAAGTTTTTGGTAAATCTACACTATTCATTCTGAGAGGGTGCTCATTAAAATTTTGCCTACTATTTGTTTCAAGTAACGGTAATCTTTTCAGTTTATTTGCGATACAATTTTGCTGAAGTTAACAATACATAATCCACAAAAGAACGTCATGAACTAGAAAGCATTTCTGGTTTGTTCAAACTCAACCTACGCACAGCAGCGAAAATATATTAGTGCTTGAGTTAACCATCATAAATTGTACGGATCAAACAGGCACAGAATTTACACATGCGTTCGCTTACAAGGTGTATATTCGGAAAGAACGTCTACGCTACGTGATCCAAATATTATACAGATCTTTATTAAGAATTTCGACTATGGTTTCAAGAGTAGCACGCTCTCTATTCTGGACCATATGTCTGTAACGATCGGATATAGTATTTGATGCTATTAGCAATTTTAGAGGCAGTCTGATTGCGATGTTTAAATGGATTTCTCCAACAGATGGTCGACGTGTAATTAGAGCCCGAATAAACCGAGTCCAGAGTTAGCGCTCTGTGATGAAGATTTCTTGGCAAATTTATGAAATAGGACTAGTTAGAAGTAATTGAAGGTTCATTACAATCTTCGGGAGTTACAAAATTATCAGGCGATATTTTTCGCTCTATTTTCATCACCATTAAATTAAGACGAAAGGCTCGTCATCTTACATGTATTCCTTGATTTCATTCCTAATATTACAGACGTAATATCAAAAACGATTTTAAAGTACCTTGATGAAGCTACAAGAAATTAGATTAGATTTTAACTTAGGTTATATTTTAACTTAGGACGCTCAAGGCAATCACAACTGTACGAAAATTATCCCTTTCGTTCTTATTCTTCCTGAAAAATTATCCCTCGTTACTAAATAGGGGAAGAGAGGAAACGGTGATGCTAAATTATTTATTCAACTTTTCACGTGCTTTGTTTCTTTATAGAACATCAATAACCGTATCAGTAAATGAAGTAATCTTATTAACGACTGTCACATGGGTCATATAAGCCCTCCCATTGTCACCCAGGTACTCGACCTCGGAGATGGTAGTGAAAAGTGACAACTTAATTTTTGCCACATTCGAGCAAAATCGAATATCGATCTCCAACAAACGCCGGGTCGCGATATGGAAAGCGAACTCGCTAGACCCCCCCCTGCCTCGGGAGGGATTATCTACAATTTATTCACTTAGGATTATTACTGTATAATCTTGTATTATTTAGTCCTGATTTTGTTCGTGATGTCTTCATAAACAATATTCCCAAGTTCTGAGTTTCACCGAGGGTGGGAAAAATTCAAAGCTTACATATTCTATATACAAAGTCGATGAATATAACTGTAGAAGTAACCATAGTAATATATAACAATGTGAGTTTCATCATACCATTTCGTTGATCTTCAAATTCCATCAACCCGCCTTCAATGTAATACTATCAACCAAGACACTGTTAGTGGCGTCTGGCAAAATCATCAGTTTTAACCTCGAAATTTAAAGTTCTTAAGCGTTGTAATAGAGCTTAGAAAATATAATAAAATTAACTTCTCCGTCGCGTCAAAAAACAAATATCTTCCCAACAAACTTGTTTTGATTCCTCTATTCTCTGCTAACGACAGAAAAACAGTGTCAGACCGATAAGTCCCTTACTTGTACTATAATCTGACTGACTGAAATTGGAACCCGTTGCAAGAAGGAATGGTGGGATTTAATTTAGGTCCATCATGTTGTGAGATACTAAATATATTTCGTCCTTTGAAAATTCATCGTCTTGATCTGCATATGAACTCTTGAACTGAGATTATGAAAGCCGTGTGTTAACCCCTTTACTATTCGCGGTCGATTCAATATAATATTTCTTCCAACTTCTACACATTGAGATTCAGAGATTACAGGCAGTGAAAATCGTAAAACCAACTGAATTGATTTTTATAGTATATAAATAAACACATTCGAGTATAAAAAAACACTTATTTTGATATCACATAGAGATACTTTAATTTTATTTATGTAGAGTATCAGTCAAATATTAACTATCTGACACTTGGTATGAATTTTTATCGATAGCTTCGCCAAGCCTGAATTGTGTGTGACCGGGACCGGGCGAGGATATGGCCTTCCAGCGGAAGGCGAACCGGAATCTCTCCCTGCCCAATTCATTAGGATTTGTGGTGGACAAAGGAAGCTCTCGCAGGTTTTCTCCAGATTCCCCGATTCCGCCATTTTTCCATCATTCATCTCATCATTATCGCTGTCATTTACTCATTAGATCATCACCCAACCTTAGCGGTTGTAAGGCATCTCAATCCCACTAAACAAATAAAATAAATAAAATAAATATTTAAATAAACACATTTTAGATCTCTCGTAAAATAGCTTAGGTGGCACAGGGCATCAAATGCTTCAATACAGCACCTCTGACCGGGAGGTTTCTAGCATCTCTGACCTAGGGCTTCTAGTCCCTACAGTGGCAGGAATTTTGACACTAGCTAGATAGCAATATAGGTTGAGTTCAGCCGCTGACTGGAAGAGAATTCCAGCGGCCGGCGGCTCTGATCTGTGGTTTTCCATGGTTTCTTCCACCAACAATAGGCGAAATGCCTGAGCAGCGTTCTAACAAACGATTTCCTTCCTCCTCATTGTCCTTATCTCTCCCCTTACTTACACACACTTACTCATGCATGCACCATCCAACCATCCATCCATTTACCTGTAGACCAGTCGAGACCTTAGAACGTACCCGGCTGGGGCAATGCCTCACTGGTGGGAGATACCTGGTTGGGGAAAATCCCCGCAAGCCGACGTACGTCGGCACCAACTCTCGCCATCCAGCGAGGGGAGATCACCGCCACCGCCACCCCCGCCATAAAACATATACTACACATATGGGACTACTGACAGCCGTTGTCACTAGCGAATCAGTCTATCAATACGTCTCACAAGTGATGCAGAGGGCTGAGTGTGTGCGGTGTGTGCGGTGTGCGTTGGCAGGCAGGAGATCGAGGCGCTGTGCCGCGTGTTCCGGAAGCTGCTGGCCACCGACAGCTACGCGGGGGCGGGGTCGTCCGCCGCCGCCGCCAAGGCCGTCGCCGGCCCACCGGGCGGCGCGTCGGCGGGCGCGGTGCACGAGGTAACACTCGCACTAGCCATAGCGTTACACCACGATTTATTCAATCGTTTATTCAATTCACATTTGAAGTGAATCAGCCGTTCATGGTTTCATTCAAACGGGAGCTTGAATGTTCCCATAGTGACGTCACTCTAGCGACATATAAGCTCCCGATTGGATGAAATCGCAAAAGATGATTTACTTCAAATGCACGGTTAAATAAATCCTATAATAGCAATGACAACTATTACAGCTTGTATCCTCAGGATTTTCAAAACATTACCGTATTCTGCAGCCGCAAGTAGTTTCCGACTTAAAAACCTTTCGATCAAAAAAGAATTCACCCAAAGATCAATCCAGACCACCTTAATAACACATTTTCCCCCCTTAATCTAATGGAAATAATTCCTAATTCTCTATGACCCTTCTTCCCCATTACCCAAACCACAAATAATCACAAATGTTACTCGAACTACTCAGAAGTGTATCGACGCCGATAGTGGGAATTTGGAGCATCTATTGTAATAGCCGCACCTCTCTGCACTCTGCACCTCTCTCTCTCTCTCTCTCTCTCGAGAGAGAGAGAGAGAGAGAGAGAGAGAGAGAGAGGAGAGAGAGAGGAGAGAGAGAGGAGAGAGAGAGGAGAGAGAGGGAGAGAGGGAGAGACAGGGAGGGTGAGGGAGAGGAAGGGAGAAAGAGGTAAGAGAGAGGGGGGAGAGAGAGGGAGGAGAGAGAGGAGAGAGGGGGATATATGGATATATATCCCCTCTCTCATAAATATATGAGAGAGAGAGAGAGAGAGAGAGAGAGAGAGAAAGAGAGAGAGAGAGAGAGAGCTACAACAGCATCTACTCAGTAGTGGGCATTTCTCTCTTGGATGCGATGGGATGTGAAGATCGAAGTTAGAAATACTGCGATGTCTTAAACACAGCATTCACAAAAATGCAAAACACCGCATTCAACTGTTTCCGGTGGCTCCGTTCGGCTCAGATAAGGTCGTCAGCCCATCGCTCTCGATCCGCCCACACAGCCTTTTCCCGCGCACGTTATTGATCACCTGCGAATTTCCCATATGCGTGCTCCCCCGGCCCCTCCG